AAAAAAAAAAAAAAAAAAAAAAAAAAAAAAAAAAAAAAAAAAAAAAAACAAAACAAAAGAGATTTGTGGATAATACCCGTGGTTTGTCAAATCGGTTAGTTGTTTATATAGTTCTTGGTTAGTTGTTTATATAGTTCTTAACCATTAACCGCTATGCTTAGTTTAATATTCAAATCGCTTATGACATTTTAGTCGTTAATATAGTATCCTAACCGCTATCACTTTTGACCCTTTTTTTTTAATTTTTTTTTTAATTTTTTTTTTATCTGTGTCTGAATAGCTCTTAACACTGCATCTCTTCCGAGACCAGGACCCTTTATCATGACTTCTGTTTGTTGCATATCTTGATCTGCTAGAGCCCGAATAGCATTTCCTGCGCGGATTTGAGCGGTAAATGGTGTCCCTATTCTTGGACCTTTGAATCCACAAGTACCCGTGGAGGATCAAGAAATTATCCGACCCTGTACATCTGTAACAGTCACAATTGTATTGTTGAAATTTGCTTGAACATGAATAACGCCCTTTGATATTTTATGCGTACTTTTACGAGAGCTAATATGTCTATTTCTACGTGAACCAATTCTTTGCTATGAATTTTGCCATATTTTATCGTCTCATAAATTTAATTAAGTCAGAGTCAGAGGTGAACCCTAACCAATTGAAGAGTGGATCAACTACGGAAGGAAAGGAAAAATTGTAATTTTTCCATTCAAGCCCTAAATTATCCTATTGAAAAAATATTGGGTGTAATTGGACCTAAATTTGACTAGCAAAAGCGTCAAGGAAATAGTGGAGGGTGGTGGAGCGTCCTTCAAGACGAGCTGCAGTGTTATAGTTTCTCAGTGCCTTGAATTGCGCACACATTGATTTCGATTTCATCAAACACAGAATCAAAGGTGGTTGGGTCCCAATTCAAGCACCGAAATCTTGAAATTCATGAATTCCCCGATAATCATGGCGTCTTTCTGTACTTCCTGTCATGAGTTTGGAGTTTTAGCAATTACCATCATCCGTTTCGCACAGTACAAAAACCTCAACTCTAAGTTTTTCCTTCTTCATCTTCATCCATGGCGGCCGACGAGGACCAGGGCGGCGAGGACTACTTGTTTAAGATTGTTCTGATTGGCGACTCTGCGGTGGGGAAATCGAACCTCCTCTCGCGGTTCGCTCGGAATGAGTTCGATAACAATTCCAAGGCCACGATCGGCGTCGAGTTTCAGACGCAAGTGGTGGAAATCGACGGCAAGGAGATCAAGGCTCAGATCTGGGACACCGCCGGCCAGGAGCGCTTTAGAGCTGTCACATCAGCTTACTATCGCGGCGCCGTTGGCGCCCTTATTGTCTACGATATTAGCCGCCGAAGTAGCTTCGACAGCGTCAAGCGGTGGCTCGACGAGCTCGGCGGTACGTTCTCTTCGAATCTGCATGGTTGCTTTACTCTTCTGTTTGTTTGCAGAAGCAATTTATGGAATTGAATCGAATTTCTTTCTTCGGTTCATTAGAATCTGCTGTTAGTTTGGTTTATTGATTCTTTGATTTGCGTAGAACTGTAAGAAACATGGAAATGATAGAAAATCCACTGTTCTTGGTTATTCTACTGCTTCTTGTAGGAAAGCTGGATTAGATTAGATCAAAAGGATGAACGAGTTGCTTTTGATCTTACTTACTGGAGTTACTTCAGTGAGTAATTTGTTATAAACTAAAGAATTGAATAGTGGTGAGGATTCCCAAATTCATACCAAAAAATAACAGTTTAGCCCTGTGTAATGTTTGAAAACAGATTCAAAAAGAAAAGGCAAGGACCTTGTTTCTTAGCTCATAAGTCACTTCTAGTCAATTTTAGGACAAACTTCCTTGTTCTTCGGGCATTTGGTGACGATGAAATTTGACCTTCAGTTTATGGCATGTGAAGTTATTAAAGAATAGCTGCTTAGTCTGTATAGGTCTATCATTGGAAGTGACAAGGTTTAGTCACTGTTGAATCAATGACCCAAGAACTTTTTCTTCAAATTTTGAATGGTATGCTTTTGGGGTTATCGACAATATCGGTTAGCGGTGGGCTTGGACTGTTACCGATGGTATTAGAGCCAGACATTGGGCGATGTGCCACGAGAAGACTGAGCCCTGAAGGGGGTGGACACAAAGTAGTGTGCTAGCAAGGACGCTGGCCCTGAAGGGGGTGGATTGAAGAGTCCCACATCGATTGGAAAAGAAAACAAGTGCCAGCAAGGACGCTGGGCCCTGAAGGGGGGTGGATTGTGAGATCCCACATCGATTGGGGAGGAGAACGAAACATTGTTTATAAGGGTGTGAAAACTTCTTGTTTAAAAACTTTGAGGGAAAGCTCAAAGAGGACAATATTTGCTAGCGTTGAACTCTTATTCTTAGTTGAACAGGAAGAATTGACGAATGATATACTTTTTGAGTCTCTTCATATCTTCACGTCGATTATAATATTGTCCGCTCGCATGATTTGGCTCATGTTCCTAGCACCCAATATAGTTGTTTCTCTTTACTTTGTATGGGCTACACTTACTTAGATATCTAGATAGGTAAATAAAGCAAGCAAATCTCATACTTGATTGTCATTTGCAATTTATAAGATTATGAACTGAAGAAGCTTACTCTCCTGTTACCGTTTGCAGTTCATTGTGATACGGCAACGATAAGAATGTTAGTAGGGAACAAGTGTGATTTGGAGAACATCAGAGATGTGCATGTTGGGGAAGGCAAGTATCTAGCAGAAGAGGAAGGACTGTTCTTCATGGAGACCTCTGCTCTTGATTCCACCAATGTCAGAACAGCCTTTGAGCTTGTTGTTAGGGAGATTTACAACAATGTCAGCAGGAAAGCCCTCAACTCTGATTCTCACAAGGCCGAGCTTTCTGTAAATCGAGTAAGTTTGGCCGATGCGGGAGCCTCGTCCAAAAAAGGCTTCTCGTGTTGCTCTCAATGAGGTTCATGTTCCCCCTCCCAAATTTTTAGCTTAGAGGATTGTATTCGATAAGTCTAACATGTCTCTAAAATTTAGGTTTCGAACCAATTCATTCTCAAACTTTTAATAGTTTTCGTGTCTGAGAAAGTTCGAGAGTTTACTAGGAATCGTAAAGGGACTCCTTCCAGTGTTTTGTATTGTTCTTATCAATGCCCTGATGTGTCTCTTCAAGATTATCCATTCTAGAACAATTTAGATGAATTATTCCAAAAATAGAAATTAAAAGATAAATCAGTGATTGAAAATATTATGATAGAAAACTTAAATACCTGAAATTTTGCCACGCAAATGCGTATATAGTTAGAATATCCATAAAAATTAATTTAATTAATTGGTGATTTATAAAATTTTATGAAAATGTAATACCTGCATTTATTTTATTTTAACCCAATGTTTTTTGAGGAAATGCATACTTTATAAATATTTTAGAAAATAAATTTAAAAATAATCAATCAATACTAAATTAAAAAAAAAATTAGTTAACCAACATCGGTATCGTTCAACTAACATGAAATATCTACTCTCGAATAATTTTTAAATTTTAATTTCCCGCTTTATATATTCTTAAACTAAAAAAACTAGGAAAAAATTAATTATATTAAAAAGGAGACATTATATAGATAAAATAGAAATATATTTATGTTTAACATGTCGACGTTGTTGGATGAAAGTGTCCCACATCGGTTAATTTAGAGAAGGGTCATGGGCTTATAATCAAATAATGCACTCTCTATTGGTATAAATCTTTTTTAGGAAGCCCAAAGCAAATCCAAAGTCTCATGGTGGCCTTTAATTTAGGGTACACTCTCCATTAGTATCAAGCACATTGTGGAGAGTCGACGTCTCAATTTTATGTGATTTTTTTTTACCATTTATAGATTAATATTTATTTATTTATTTTTTGAAGGTATTTTGTATTAATTTAGCTAAAAAGAAAGGAAAAAGGGTGTGGCATATTCTTCTATACTAACGCACGCGATCCATCTCTTGGGTAGCCCCTTTAATCTTCCTCCTCTCAAGATTTTCAGTATAAAACTTCCACTGGTACCACATTGGCGACTTCCTCTTCCTGCCCGGTGAATCCGATTAGGGCTTTTGGATGG